TAGGCCGTAGGTTTAGGCAGTTGTCTGGTAGCAGAGTTACTGTAAGCAGATATCCTGGTTATCTGGCCGGCGGTAGTAACACTCGCGGTGCTTACCGCAACTGTTGCTGGAATTTGGCCTGTTCCAGGCGCGCTTAATTAGGTACAGGCACGGTAAGACGGTGGGGCTATCTTTGTTACTAGACACGACCATGATAGTCCGATCTTTATGTGAATGCAATGATTGTGTGTGTGTAATTAAAATGAACTTCGAACTTGAAGCACAGTATCTTTACACGCCCTGGGAGCAGTAATGGATTTAGCTCTTTGTATGTTTTATGCTTGTGACGCGCCCTCATTGTATTAACCGTTGCCTAATTATAATGTCTGCACAGTAGGTCTGGCGTTGACGCTTGGGATTTTGTTGAAATATATAAAACTTCACGGAGGATTGTCACCTATGGCTTCTTGTTGTTTTTTTTTTGAGGGCGACAGGCGAAAATCAATGCGCGCGCGGATGTCATCCATAAAATTAAGTCGGTGTGGCCTTAGGCCAACCAACTGGTAACTAATATGAGTACAAGAGTGGGTGGCTGGAATGGGCTAAGTATGACCTTTTACAATCATTGGAGGATTTTATCATATCTATACAATCTTTTATATATAAATCACTCGTGGCCTGATGGCTGAATTGCTGATTCAGTACGATACAGTCTTACTCAAAACAAAACATAAAACATTTGTTATCATCAAATTTTGTCACACTTCAAAGAAGCCACATGACAAGCCTCACTGGGTCAGTCTACTGAGGAAGACCAGAGTGACTGGTTGAAAGCTCTAGGTGAGAGAACTTTTTGTGTTGGATCTACATGTAAAGTTTTACACTTAAAACTACAAATACAGTACAGTACAAGTACAGTTTTATAATAAAAGCTGGTCATAAACACATAGGTCTTAAGTTAACTACATTTGGTACCATAATGCAAAATCATAGCGATAGTTTTACCTGCCCGTAAACTCCTGCCGGAAAGCGACCAGCCGACAGTCGCAGCGCCAGGGGTTGCCATGGAGATAGACGTTGGGGATGGGGGCCAGTTCTCCGTGTGCCGAGCCCGGCAGCGCGGTGAGGGCGTTGTGGTCCAGGTACAAGTTCTGCAGGCGGGAGAGCCCCTGGAAGGCTCCAGTTCGGACAGTGTTGATGGCGTTATACTGCAGATAGAGCTCGTGGAGTTGGGTTAAGTTACGAAAGTCTGTGATTGCAGTCAGGCTGTTGTGATCCAGGTACAGACGCTGAAGCTGTGGGAGCCATGAAAACGTTCCCAAGGCCACTGTGGTGATGTTGTTGTACTCCAGATGTAGCTCTTGAAGCTGGCCCAGCCCACAGCAGAACTGGAAACTATTGAGTGCAGTGAGACTGTTGTGGTCAAGGTGAAGGTACTGCAGTCCGGAGAGTGAGTGGAACGTTACGGGTTCAACGGTGCTGATGCTGTTATAGTCCAGGTGAAGCTCCTGGAGTTCCGTTAGGTTGGAGAAGGCTGCAGCAGTGATGGCAGTCAGGTTGTTGTGGTCTAAATACAGCTGCTGCAGGTTTGCAAGTTCCTGAAAGGTTGTCGCCTGGATGCTGCCGATGGTGTTGTACTCTAGATGCAGCTCTCGGAGCTGAGTTAGAGTGGGGAAGTCTGTGACAACTGTCAACCTGTTGTGGTCTAGATACAGCTGCTGGAGGTTTGCAAGTTCCTGAAAGGTTGTTACCTGGATGGTGCTGATGCTGTTATACTCCAGATGCAGTTCTTGGAGCTGAGTTAGAGTGGGGAAGTCTGTGACAACTGTAAGCCTGTTGTGGTCCAGGTGTAGGTTTTGCAGGTTTGCAAGTTCCTGGAAGGTTGTTGCCTGGATGGTACTGATGCTGTTATACTCCAGATGTAGCTCTTGAAGCTGAGGCAAGCTGGGGAAGTCTGTGACTGCAGTCAGGTTGTTGTGGTCTAGATGCAGCTGCTGCAGGTTTGCAAGTTCCTGAAAGGTTGTTGCCTGGATGCTACTGATGATGTTGTACTCTAGATGCAGCTCTCGGAGATGAGGTAAACTGGGGAAGTCTGTGACGAGTGTCAGGCTGTTATGGTCCAGATGCAGGTTTTGCAGGTGAGAGAGCCTCCAGAAGGTTCCAGGCCGGATTACGCTGATGCTGTTGTGATTCAGGTGTAGCTCCTGGAGTTGGACATAGATATTAACCCTTGTCCTGCGGAGCACAACAATTGTTGTTCTGCACATACAGTACCATCTACATGTATATAGCACCCTGTATAGGTGCGATTTGGGGGTATTTCTCGTGCAACGCATCACACCGCAGCGAAATGCAATGCAAATGCAGAAGTAACTATGCCGGTGCAGGGCAAAAAAATATGGGGGTCTATGTTCTAATTAAGACATGAAATTATTGAGAAATATTATGCCAGGAATGCCAGCAGGACAAGGGTTAAGAAGGGCTTACATCGGAGGGAAGAAAAACATAGACTTGCATCAGAACTGAGATGCTTTAAGCGTAAGACCAAGAATAAGTACAGGGTGTAGATGAAGTGCTTTCATGGTCTTGTAATGTAAGCACTGCAGCGCGCAGATGGGCCTGGTGTGGTCACATCTGCCTCATGCCTCCAGACTCAATAACAATAGTTGCCCTAACATGGTAAGCAACGGGAAAAAAATAGAGGGCATCCAAAAGAGACGTGGTGGAGAACAATAGAGAGAGACCTAAAAGAGAGGGGACTGACTCTGGACACAGCCCCGGACGCAGCTGTAGATAGGGCCAGATGGAAATCCTTCCTGTCACCTCACAAACCACTAGGTTCAGAAGAGGATTGAGCCTGAGCATGGTCTTGTAAGACCGATGAAATGCCTACCTACCTGGAGTTGAGACAAGCTGCGGAAGTCCGTGATTCCAGTGAGGCTGTTGTGATCAAGGTGTAGACGCTGAAGCTGCTGGAGCCTAGTGAATGTTCCGGACCCGACCGTGCTGATGCTGTTGTACTCAAGATGAAGTTCCTGCAACTGACCGCAGCAGAACTGGGCATTACTGACTGCAGTGAGGCTGTTGTGGTCAAGGTGAAGATACTGTAGTTGTGAGAGGTCCTGGAACGTTAAGAACTCGATGGTGCTGATGTTGTTGTGCCTCAGGTACAAAGTCTGCAGATAACGAAGTCCCTGGAACATTCCATTATGGAGCTGCGACAGTTGGTTTGATCCCAAGTTCAAGGACACCAAGCTGGCCAAGCTGGCAAACGTCCCGCCGTCTATTTCCGAGATGATGTTGTTCAGGAGCTCAATGTTCTCCAAGTTCGCGTATGAAACAAAGTCTGTCGGGTGTAAGGCAGCAATGTCGTTGTTGGAAGCGTAGAGCGCTACGATGTCGGGTGGGAGGTCGGTGGGGCACGGAGGTCAGGCTTCAGGGCCCTGGCACACGGCATTGTGGGAAGCAACGGAACACGGATGTGCCGCTGACGCCCCAAGGTCGTTCAAGGTCAGGAACAGAAAGACCGCGAACCCTTGCAGCCAGAGTTCCATCCTGTGGCCTTTTTGTGTACTCACACTTAGGGGTTGTAGTGAAGCATCCTAGAAATACATTGTAGGAGAAACATTGTCTTAAGCTTTTGGCACTGCCAAGTCTTTTTCATCTGTTGTTCTATGGAAAATACTGGACCAAAAATAGACAATATCATATTCACTAACAGGCAAATTGTCCGACATATTCACAAACATAAAAGAAACCATTTATATCAAGAGTATATTATATTGCTCATGATTAACAATTGGAATTGTGATAAAATAGCATTACATAAATTACTGATAGACCACAGATGAAAGTAAGGCACCAAACCTCCTTCAAACATGTTGAATGTCTCCTAAAAGGCAAAGACTCTTTTAGTATGATTGTAACTCAGGTTGAATTTGTTCACAGCAGATAGCTGATTTGAATAATTATGTCCGTTGGTTTAAATATGTCTGATAGCAATGAGCAGTAACTCAGTGGGCATACATGTACATGTAGCCTTTTCTTTCCAATCATGTCAAGATATTTTTACAAGAAGAAAAACTGTAAAACTCACTCCAAACTCTGCCCTGTTGGTTGTCAGTCAGTCCTGTTTAGTGAAGATTTCTACACAAAACTATCACAGAGCGAGCCAGGGTAGAACTGTGCAGTCTGCCCTGTCATGTCCTCTTAAGGCAGTACCAATGTGATTTGTTGGTTCTCAGATTTTTTCAGAAAATCAATGAAGTGGGTGGATACAAAAAGATGAGAATAAAAACAGGCCTATAGGCATCCCAAATGCTACCATAGGAGCAACAAAGTCAACATGGTTGGCCGGTCTATAATTCAAACATTGAACTTTCAAATCATAAAAGCTTTTCCAGGTACGAAGACAAAAACTTTCTTCAACTGTCTCAAATGTGCCAAAAAATAAGCATTTGGTTAAATGTACTTTTTTTTTCCATTTTTTTTTCCAATCAGAAAAAATGAAGCAGCTAAAATAGAGAAACAAGAAGTTAAATTGGTGTGGCCTAATCACTACCTGAAATCTCAACTTAAAAATCAATTTCTGCAAACTTTGGCCTGTTTGTAGTTACAACGTTTTACCCATGGATCAATCATACAAAAATAAATAATTTTTAAATTCCATGAAATATGATTTTATCATTGGAATTCCAGGCTGTTGCTGAAACTTTAGTTTTAGATTTCCCTGTATCACATTTGGAACAGGCATTTGTATTACTGCTTTTTTAGTATTAGATGTGTATAAGGGAATGTCTCAAATGTTCTGTACGTTCTGTAAACAGGACCAGATTTCTTTGGCCTTTGAACCCTCTCATGACTGCTAGATAAACATTGCTTACACTACAGTTATACTTACCAATGACTTAACCATAATTTTTTACTGATGACAGCTGCAATTTAGTAATGATAGGATTAGGAACCCTATGATAGCCTGAGGCACACAGAATAGTACTTATTTTGCTTATTTATTATTTTTATTTATTTATTCATAATGATTTCCCATGTACACGAGTAGTAAATGGCATGGTAGAACATGTGTTCATGTTACTTACTTGTTAGAACACTTTTTCAAAGCCACCATGCCAACATAAAATCCTATATAGATGACGTTGTAGATGGTGGAGAAACATACAATTTAAGTCCTGATGATTACAGGTGTGTGATGTGTCAACAACTCATGTTTACCCAGGCTAGCATGTGATCCTGGCTGGTTGTTTACCGAGCAGTGATATTTGAACATCATATCGACAGCTACCAGGTCATGGGAAAGGGTCAAACTTGTCCAGTTTTATCACCGATGAGTTCAAAGACCTCGTATTACAGCTGTGCATGTCGCATGTTTCAGACATGGAAGTGTGGGAATAGTCTTACATACAAATGTATAATCATGTCAACTATAACACCCAGGACCTTATGCAGCACCACTAGGTTTCTGGAACTATATTAATTACATTCTCATGTACATGTAAACTTATAAATGACCCCCCCCCCTCTGTAATCTCCTGATTCTTACAATATCATGTAAAGTAACCCCCTGTTGTTTGAGTAAGAATAAACAAAGCAGAAGTTTGTTAAGCCGGGCCATGGGAGGGTATAAAGCTTGATGCATTTGTTTTAAATGTTACCCTTCCAGTCTCCCCAGTATTACAGTACCATGTAAACTAACCCCCCTGTCCCTCACCTCAAGACTGGAGCCAGCACTGCCACCTGGGTTTCTCCCAGCTGGGTGTACGTGGGTGCCGCCAGTAAACTAACCCCCTGTTATCATGTAAACTAACCCCCTGTTATCATGTAAA